TGTATGGAGAGCCGCTGAGCCCGGGGCCTGTGCTGCGTCCGTGTCTGAGAGAGGGGACTGGTGCCAAACTTCAGGTCAACGCTGTGACTTGGCTCCCGTTGTTCCCTGTCACCTGCCTGGATCAAAACGGCGATCAGACGTGAGCTCAGCCCCGTCCTGCGATGGCGACAAAATACGTCTGTGGCCAGAAAGTGAGTTCTCCAGTCATGAAGAGTGACCCTTATTTACGTCTGCGTAGGTTCATTCTGGGGCCCATAAAGGTTTAATTGTCCCTCTAACTAGGTGTGTGTTTTTTTTTAAACCCACAAAGAGCCTGCCAGTTTTTCCCGGAGTTTAAAACCAGCTCACTGTGCTTCTGTAGAAACGGCTCTAAGCGGGGAGCTGGCGGCACAAGGCGGGATTGTCTGGGGGACTTTTTCAAGTCAGTTTTTGTGGCTGCTGTTGACCTGGGTTGCTGGGGGGAGGGGGTACGGCGGAGGGAGAATCTAAGATTTCTCCTTGCCTCCACTGCCCCCTGCTGCCCTTCTGGGCGCAGAGGGGACCTGAGCGTCACACGGCTCCGGTCTGGACGTCCCTCCTTTTCTCCCAGGAAAAGTCAGACATATTTCAATAAAAATTGATTATGCAAACATGATTATAAAGCTCAATGAGTACTATTATAAAGAAAATGAGCCCTAGAAGTTTCTCTGAGGAAAGTAGGCCTGGTAAGCCAGATGTACAGGAGAGGAAGCCAGGAAGGTGGGAAAGCTCACGGCATGAGAGCAGGGACAAGCATGCTAGACAGAAGGAACAGCACTGCAAAGAATGGGTGGCACATATTACATACATGTTGATGAGGGTGCACAATTTGGCTAAAACACAGTTCCAGAACCTTCTTTGTCCTCTGTATTGAACCTTCCTTCCCTGAAGATGTGCTCCCCATCTGTCATCCTTTGAGCTCCAAAAGGCCACCCCTAGATTACCTCCACTTGCCTCATTCTCCTCTTAGAAGAAAACACATTTGTCAGAGGACTGGAGCAAATGGTTTTGATGTATGGTTCTGAGCGGTAAGGGACGCCATCACGAAGTCAGTCTCAGTTTACACGAGTCCAAGTGTTCCATTTAAACATCCTCCCTCCCTGTGCGCCCGCTCCTCTGCTGCAGCTGTTTATCTTCCAGGACGCTGCACTCTACTTGCAGTCTTGGCCTGTATTTAACTCCGTCTCTGACTTTTTCCACTCCCTGGCCTATCATTTACATTGTTCTTCAGGAAATGTAAATATTTATTTACAGTATTAGCTCTATACATTGTAGGATAAACAGTCAGCAATATGAGTTCTTCTTCTGAATTTTCCATAAATGGCTGGCGACCTTAGCCAAGTCATTTAACCTCACTGAGCCAAAGTGGCTCTTTGTAAAAGGAAATTGCTTATGTGTGTGTGTGTGGGGGGGGTTGGGGATGGATTGGGGGTTAGCTACCAGATCTGTATCCAGGATTTCTATTAAGATCCGAGTCTACCTCCTGCAGCTGCCTACAACAGTCTCTCCTGTATCTGTCTCCGTCTATTCTCTTCAGAATGTCTTTGTGAAGACTGACTTTCTGCAGAGTGTCAGTGGACACAGAATAGTATTTAATAAAGGAGACGAGCTCATACTATCCAGCATGGATTCCAGTTCCTCTACGTTAGGGGATGTTGGAGGCACAAGAAAATTCGAGTTGCAGCCTTGAAATTCCTATAGACTGTCTTCAAACTGGGGCATTGGTACCCAACTGGGATATACAGAGGTGGGCCAATGGGTAAGCAAGCCCTTCTTTCTAGAACAATATGCTACTCAAAGATTTGAGGAGGGAACACAGACCTTGGTAGTAAAACAAATGGGTAGAATAGAGCAGAAAAGTCATACATCTCAGCTTTGAGCATGCTTCAGTGGGAGCAGAAATAAGACTTCTGAGGTATGTGCTTTATTTTTACTTATTTATTTTGTCCCAGACAGGGACCTGAACTTGGTATCTGACGCTTTTGCTTACTGGCTGGAGCTCTACCACCGGAGCCATGCCTCCACCCCGGTATGTGTACGTCAATGGGAGAAAGTGTTGGGTTATTCCCGAGATACTTTAGCTGTTGAATAATAGACATATGTAGATAAATCCAATTATACCACTAGGAGAGTCCTGAGGTAGAAGGAAAATCAAAGAGACCACAGGTGGGGTAAATCCCAGGATCCTACAAAAATCCCCAGATGGAAGCTGGACTTGAACCCAGCTGAATACCTACGGGATCGCTTACCCTTTCACCGACCCCCCCCCAATCCAGGTGCTCAGCAGCCTATCTTACATTGTATTGCCTTGCATATAGATAGCTTCTCAGTCAAGTGGACGGTGAGTTAAGGAAAAGCCCACCATCCAAGGTCAAGACCTCGCTTACCTATTTGCTCACCAATGACATGGATTTGCAATGTAAAAGCCCTGTGTAAATCATTAAGTAAAAATCAGTTATTAACTAAGACCCCCAGGAGGCAGAGTATATCTCTTGCTATTTCTTCCTATCCCCTCCCCCACTCTAGCTTTTGCCTGGTTACTTTTCAAGCTATTAATGATTCAGATCATGAAATGCTGAACCTAGTCTGGACCTGGGAAACTGATTTTGTCTTTCCCTGCTATTCCTCCCTTCTCCCCAACTTTTTCTCTTCTAGCTGAAGTATCTACCCACCCACCCACCCAAGTGTTCCTGCAGTCTTACTTAGTTCCTACAAACCCTACTGGAGAATCTGGAGTTAGAAGGCATTTGAAGAGTCTATCAACTGCTATTAGAGTCATCAACTACTGGAGGGAACAGCAGGCCTTGGTAAGGACAGTTTATAGCAGTGTCATGTAAATGTAATGTGAGATTTGGAAGATCATGGTTCAAAGACAGGCTGGGTAAGAAGTTCATGAAAACCCATCTCAACTAGTAGCTGGGCCTGATGGCACATGCTTATGATCCCAGCTATGGAAGGAAGTATAAACAGAAGTATCCCAATCCAGGCTGGCCAGGGCAAAAAGCGAGAGTCCATCTCAAAAGCCACTGGCCAGTGGCTCATACCTGTAATCCTAGCTACTCAGGGGCTGAGATTTGAGGATTGTGGCTAGAAAGCTAGCCCAGGCAGGAAAGTCTATGAGACTCTGATCTCTGGTTGACCAGCAAAAAGCCTAAAGTGGAGCAGTGGCTCAAGTGGTAGGGGGCTAGCCATGAGCAAAAGAGCTAAGGGACATGCTCATATGCAAAGTGGTTGTTTCCTTGTATAAACAAATGTGGAGCCATTCTGTCCTGACATTTAAATTGGAGTAACTTAGGTCAAAACTGTTGCTTTATAAAATGGAGTAGCCCAGAGCAGGGTTAGTATGTATTAGTTTATGCTTTATGGTATTCACCAATAAACTAACTTTTACTAGGCTATTCCCTTTATGTTCTGAGTTGTATAGAATTTAAAAAATGTTTTCAGCCTCTTTACAACTTCTGACTTCACAATAAGTGGTTCACACTAACAAGAGTAATGGCTTTTTAAAAAGACAACTGTGTGTGTGTGCGTGTGTGTGTCTTGGTACTGGGGCTTGAACTCAGGGCCTGGGCACTGCCCCTTAGCTTCTATGCTCAAGGCTGGTGTTCTACCACTTGAGCTACAGCTCCATTTCTGGCTTTTTGGTGTTAATTGGGGATAAGAGTCTCACTGATTTTCTGGGCTGGCTTTGAACTGAGATCCTCAGATCTCAGCCTGAGTAGCTAGGATTACAGGTGGAAGCCACCAGTCCCCAGCTTAAAAGCAAACTTTTAAAATTGGATGAGAAAGGGTGAGTAAATGTGTACAGAGCTTCATTTTCCCTACACAAATTCAGAGTTTTGTAGGTGTGGGGCTCCCTAGGTCCTGGCCTCACTCCAGAGGTGACAGAGCAGACTTGGAATCAAGAGGTCAAGGAAGTGGCCTCATGTGTGTTAACTTCAGCTGTTAGGGAAGTAAGGAAAACAACAACAATAAAAAAAAGAAAGCAGAAAAGCACTGGAAAGAAAAAAAAAAGGAAAAAAGCCCTGTAGATGTGGCTCAGGCAGTAGAGCCCTTGTCTATCACATGACAGGGTCCTGGGTTCAAAACTCATTACAGGAATAGAAAAAGATGTGTGCGCGGGGGG